GAGAAACTTTCACCATCCTCGCTTTAAAGGAGCATATGCTGGCTGCACTTCTTCCCAGACGGATTGGTTCATTCTCTTGGCAGGTCATAGAAGAGTCGGTATTCCTTGCCAGCAGCATCATGCAAAGGCATCAGGTCCTCGGCCATCTTTCTTTTTCCTTGCCCAGCCTTCATATGCATGGGAGGTGATTTAAAATGCCATGGCTTGGGTTAGTCGCATCTTAGTCCTCTAAGAGACGTGGGTGATCTTCAATAGTTTAGCGAGGTCTTGTGCTGCAGATTTGTCAAATGCAAGACGTCTTTGGGTTTCTTGACTGCTGTGCATGAGCCTTGGTGGTAGATCCAAGTACCATGACATCCTTGGCGACTTCAATCCTTTTATCATGAAGTTGACCATTGGTCCAGTGGTGAGGATTTTTGCTTTCTTTTCATGGAGTTGTAATCCAGACGGAAGGCTACAGTCTTCTGACTCATACATTTTAAAACAAAGCAAAACACCCCCAACGCACTGCCATGGGGTCAATTCTAACTCATGACCACTCTGGGGTTTCTGAGACTGTGGATCTTGACAGAGCAGACAACCCTGTCTTCTCTCACAGAGTGACTGATGGGTTAGCGGCCCAGCACATAATCCATAGTGCTACCAAGGCTCAGGGTTAGTCCCTAGGAGACCCAAATCTTGACAGTCTCTTCCACCATCTCAATAAAAAAACACTCGCCTGTAGACTGTATGTTACTATATTTAAGCCAAGAGGGAAAGGAGGCATTTTCAAATCCGTGACTCTCCTCACTTGCAGTTCTACCACACATATCCCACACAACCTATTGAAACATCTCTCCCCCAATAAAGCCTTTTAAGGAGTACTTTTAAAAAAATCATTTTATTGGAGGCTCATAGTCTATCTCATTTCTCAGACTTCAGTGTGCACCAGAATCACTGGGGAGCTTGCTAAAATCAGGGCTTGGAACTCAAAAGTCAGGCCTTTGTACAGGTTCAATCCAGCTTGACCCCTGCTGAGAATTTGCCAGGTGACTCTTAAGTATCCTTGGGAGCTATAAGAATCTGAAGACTGGAAGAATCATCCAGGGATCTTACTAAACTGTAGATTCAGTCTGTCTGGGGTGGAAAGGCAAGCTCTTAGTGGGGGATCAAATCAGAACGAACTAGTTCCAAGCGCTGGCTGAAACATAGTTGCTAATTCAGTTCATATGGGTAGATGGGGGCCTCAGGGCCCTAAAATTTGCATGTCTAGCACTCTCAGGTAAGGCCTTTGACACACTGACAACTCCTGCTGTACTCCAAAGATGCTCCTGGTGGCGCAGCTAGGTAAGCATTGGACTACTAACTGCCAACTCGTCAGTTCAAACCCACCAGCCACTTCTCTGGAGACAGATGAGGCTGTGTGCTCCCATAAACATTTACAGCTGGGAAACCCTAGCTAGGATTGCTATGATTCTGAATTTACTCAACGGCAGTGGATGGAAACCTGCACGATGGCATCTTCATGGATATGCCCGGGAAAAAAGGATTTCTGCTTCTGATGAAAGAATTATGAAAGGTAAAGACAAACAGAAAGGTCAAACTCGGTGGCAACTGAAGCCGTCAGTTCTGCCCAGGTGGATGGGCCTGGAGACTTTGCATTCTAAAATGTCCCCTGCTGCTGCTCCTGAACCAGGGGCCACCCACCCTTTGAGACCCATAGTTTGTGAGCTAATCACATGGTGGCCCTCCAGAATGAGTGCTATACTTCCCAATTCAAACGGGAACGATCCTCAGAGGAGCCTGTTCAACTCTTTGGGTTCCTGGAGCAGAATGCCAATTGTCTCCCAGACCCAATGCCTTTCTTTGATGAAATTGGTAGAAAAGACGGAAAGGGACCCAAGAACTTGGTGGGAGAGCAGAGCAATTATATCATCAAATAGCCTCCTGCATGAAGCTCCTTGGTTCCTAAATTGTCAGCTCGCCAAAGTTAAATATATATCCATGTGAGTATTTTCAGCAATACAGAAAATAGGACAATATCAAAAGCTATGATCTAGACACAATGTTATTAAGATTTGTTTTTAAATCTGCTGGCTATATCTGTTAGTGAAGTGTTTTGCAGGAGAAAATCACAACCATTACTCTTTGGCCTGGGCCTTTCTTGGAAAACAAGAGAGCATAAGTTTTATAACAATCAACCGAAGGGTAGGGGGAAGGTGGGAGGAGGAAGGGGGAACTGATTGTAATGATCAACACATAACCCCCCCCCACACACACACCCTCCAGGGGGACGAACAACAGAAACCATGGGGGAAGGGAGGGAGACAGCGATCGGTGTAAGATATGAAAATAATAATAATTTATAATTTATCAAGGGGTCATGAGGTAGGGGGAGGGAAAAAGGAGCTCCATAGAAAGTAAATGTCTAGAAAAGAATGACGGCAACATAGTATGTGCAAATATGCCTGATACAATGGATATGTGGAATGTGATGCATTGTAAGAGCCCCCAATGAAATGATCTTTTAATTAAAAAAAAACCCTGCATGCTGGTACATTGCTTTATTTCATAAAAATAGCACCCTTGTTTCTTTGCTATTCCTGAGGAAGGCGTGCTGATTTAAAAATACCCTCCTCGACCGGTCTAGAGTGGCTCTGAAACTGTAAGAGAGAGCTGGGTAGGTGGAGGCCACCCTGGACCAGCCGCTGACAGAATCATGGCGACCCGGAGCCCCCCTCCCCAAGACTGTGAAAGTGATGATGAGGCTTATGAGGGGTTGGATTTAACTTAGTGTACCAGAAGCCCCCAATGGTGGAGCCGGGTGCTTGGCCGCAGTTCAGGACCCACGGTAGAAAAAGACTCAGTAGCCACTCAGATCGTAATGGGTGGAGTGACTGGCGGGTGTGCTGGCTTTTTGTTCCAGAAAGTTGGGCAACTGCAGTCGGTGGTGGCTTTCTTCACCTTCAGCTTGCCCGTCACAGTGGCTCTGTCCAGGTGGATGGGAAGAGAGTTGAAAACGATGTGAACAAAGCAAAAAGGCAGATAAGGAAACGTGGGAATAAAGCAGCAGCTGAAATCAACAGTATCACTGAAGAAGCAACAATTTATTAAACACAGAACATCATGATACCCAGCGGATTTGTGGGAGGCTTTTTGCTAGGACTTGCATCATAAGGACAGGAATGTTCTAAGATAGTGGATGCAACTGTGACGAGAGCAGCGGTGGTATCAGGGTGTTGTCTCAGCAGCATCTGCCACCTGATTTTCTGGAGCAAGGAACGACAAGCTGGACAATACTGAATTCATTACTTTATTGTTTTGCCTTCCTGAAGCTTGGCAAACTATTATCTGCTGTAAAATACCCTGTATCCTATGTCTATAATAGTATTCTTGAGCAAAACAGGCATGGTTAGCTTTCATCATTTAAAAGAATATAACCTCCTTCCAGGGGGATGGACAACAGAAAAGTAGGTGAAGGGAGATGTCGGGCAGTGTAAGATATGACAAAATAATAATAATTTATAAATTATCAAGGGTTCATGAGGAGGGGGAGCAGGGAGGGAGGAGAAAAAATGAGGAGCTGATACTAGGGGCTCAAGTGGAAAGCAAATGTTTTGAGAATGATGATAGCAACAAATGTACAA